AGCCAATTTGTGTGTGTGTGTGTGTGTGTGTGTGTACACAAACTTGTGCTTGTGTGGCATGTTGTGAGAGAATGTACATATATGCATACACACGGGAGTTAAGCACCCCTCAACCTAGGGTTTCAGACTCAGTTGTCCCTCTCCTCCTGCCTGTGTCCTTGCTTTGTGGTCCTGACTGACGAAGGTGGGGTCTTGATTGAGGAAGGTGTCCAGGGTCAGAGTCAGGGTTAAGGACTGGGGTGCCTCCTCTCACCTGGTCAGACCCTGATACACCTACCTTAGCTGGGATGAGGGTCCCCCTTCAAACTCAGTCATGTGCTTCCCAACTATCCCATTCTCCACTCCAGACTGACTCAGCTTCAGCCCTTATCTTGGGGCTTGACAGAGCAGAATAAGCATTTGCTGAAACTTGGAGGAAAAAAAAAAACAACAGGAAAATATCATACCTGGTACATTGTTTTAGAAAAAAAATAAAAAGAATAAATCCTTCCTTGGAAACTTGAAAAAAAAAGGACACAAGTCAAGATTCAATTATTCCCTAAGGTCACAGTTTTCTTCTCCAAAGATAACCTAATTATTGGAGAGGGTTTTTTGTTATCCTTTCAGAGTAATGACTTTATGTCTATTTCAAAGGAAAGGAAGGAGCTGGGCATGGTGCCACATGCCTTTAATCCTAGCACTCAGGAGGCAGAGAAGCAGGCAGATCTCTGTGAGATCAAGGCTAGCCTGGTCAAGTTCCAGGTCACCAGGGAAACCCTTTCTCAAAAAAAAAATCAAAGGAAAGGAAGAGAGGGAGGAAGGTAGAATGGAGGGAGCGAAAGGAAGGAGGGGATAGCCAAGGAAACCCCATAAATGAATGTTTGAGAAAAAAATGCAAGAAAGGACACACACACACACACCTCTTAACTGTGATTACCTCAGAGTATGGGTACTGGAACCTCAAAGCATAGATCAGTGAACTCTACTTTCCTTAATACACATCAGTAGTACCATTTGTCTTGATACAACAGATCTATACTAATTTTGCAATTTACAAAATTCCATAAAAGTAAAAGCTAAACAGTAAATTAGCAGAAATATTAGCCCCTGTAAGCTAGGGTAATGTGCTTATGCAAGGTTTCCTTTAGTGAGAAGGGGAAAGGAAAGGTGAAGCTTAGAACATTAATAAAAAATTAGCATGACCCCAAGGCCAGACTAGAGTGACAGGAGGCTGCCTACTGACATCAGCTGGCCACCTATCTACTTCCTGTCATACTATAACTTGTAAGATTTTAATTTTTTTTACTGACTGCCTCTTTTTTTGGTTATGGTTTTACTTTGCACATAATACCTCAGTTTCACAAATGCTACATTTTCCAAAGCCAGGGGTCTTAATGGTGTGCTTTGCAGATATTTTTAACATGTATGAAAAAGAGATAGTAAGGTTAGAGTCCAAATATTGGATAGCCTCAGGAATTTATGTATGACATCTGCATACTCATTGGCAGAGTATTTGCCTTGCATGTGTGAAACCCTGGGTTTCAGGGCAGGGGAGGGGAAAAGGATGGCCACACATAGTGTGCCTAGTGCTTAACAAATGAGTGAGACTCTAGCTAAGGAAAATATGAGCACATCTCGTTAGCACAGTATCATGAAAACACAGAAACCACCAAATACATTGCTGTTAGTCATTTTACTGTTCAACATATCTGCTGAGAAAAAAAAAACACTAAAATATGCTTTTGAGGTTAAAATAGATCTCATTATCTTTCTTGGCCTATAGCTAGTAAGACTTAAAATGGCTCTCCCTATCACTGGCTCATTTGAATATCTTATTTGTGCTAAAGACAAAAAGAATCACAAAGCTAAAGAACAATGCAGTATACATGGTTCCAAGAAAGGTACATTTCAAGTTTCCATACAAGTTGCCTTGAAACAAAACCAAATCAGGTTCGGGGTGTAGCTTGATGATAGAGCACCTGCCTGGCATGTACAAGGTCATGGGTTCAACTCCACAGCATTATAGGAATTGAAAATATAATCAACACACAGGGGGCTGGAAAGATGGCTCAGCAGTTAACAGCACTGGCTGCTCTGGCAGAGGATCCAGGTTGAGTTCACAGCACTCACATAGCGGCTAACAACTGTCCAAAACTCCAGTTCTAGGGAATCCGATGCCCTCTTCTGATCACCACAGGCATTGTGGTGCATGGTGCACTTACATAAATGCAGGCAAAACACTCATACCCATAAAATTTAAAAGAATAAAGACATACCCATAAAATTTAAAAGAATCAACACAGCTGAGTTGAATGAGACTCTATGCAATGGGGTAGGAATTACCAGCTGCAGTCCCAGGGCAATGCTTCCTGAAAGAGCTTTACAGTTCAGTCTTGTTGGCAAGGGTGCTTAAGATAGACCTGGTGCCTGGAGTTTTCCTTACTACAATCCCAAATTCCAATATAAGCCCTTTTACAATCCTCCATCCTCTGGTCTTCAGAGCTATCACAACTTTCCACAGCCAGGAAATTCACTAGAGCAGGGCACGACAAATCACAAGACATGACAAATAAGCATTCCCCAGTTGCTGAGAGCAGAGCAAGGCTTCCAAAACGAGAGTGCATTCTCCCAGTGGAAACCCCGTGAAGCCTTTTAGAAATGGTTCCTTTGTCTCTTTGTGTTGGAAAAATTCAAAATCCTGTTAGCTATTTTGAAATCTACAATAAATAATTGTAAATGTTTGAGGTGATGGATATGCTAATTACCTTGATTTGATCACTGTATATTGTATCTATGTAACAAGGACCCTAAGGATTAGAATTTCTCCTGGGAAAAATCCATACTAGGGGGAGGATAAGTACCCACAGGAGCACTGGTACCAGAGGATATACTGGTCTCTCAGGAGAAATGACTTATCTACAGCTTCTGCCTTGGGCTCTCAAGCTAAATTTACATAAGCATATTTCCAGTCTTTTGCTTCATCTTTTCTATCAATTGTAACACTGACATGGGCAAAGCAAGGAGGGATTGAAAATTTCTCTCTGCTCAGTTCTGGTCAAAAGTATAAATAAATCCATTTATTTAGATGCATATGTGTGTATGTATGTGTATATGTGTGAGTGTGATTGCGCATGTGTGCTTTTGCATGTGGAGGCCAGATGTCAACATCAGTTGCCTTCCTCCACCACTCTCCTCATTATTTTTAATGTACTTTTGATTTCTTTAAAAATTAAATTTAGCCCGGATGGTGGTGCACGCCTTTAATCCCAGCACATAGGAGGCAGAGGTAGGCGAGTCTCTGTGAAATCAAGGCCAGTCTGGTCTACATATTGAGTTCCAGGCTAGCTGTGGTTACAGGGGGACCCTGTCTCAAAAAGACCAAAAAAAAATTAAATTAGTATACACGGTATTAGGTTTCATTCTGACATTTTCAAACAAATTTTTTTTTGTTGATTCTTCTCCTTCTACCCCATCCTTCTGACCCCATCACCTTATTTTTTGAGACAGGATCTCTCACTGAACCTGCAATTCATCCTTTTGGGAAAGACATGGGCCACTGTGTCCAGCTTTTTCACAGATGCTAGGGATCCTCATGCTTGTCCAACAAGCACTTTATCCACTGAGCAATCTCCTTAGCCCCAATAAACCTGTTTCTTTCCACCAATTTCTGTCTTCCTCAGTAGAGAGATGAGCAATGAACCTAAGATTCCTGAGACTATCATATTCTATCCCATGAATATATACAATTGTACAATTGGTATATGCCATTTTAAATGAATGTAGTTGATTTAAAAGGTTCCATTGTCATCACTAGTAAATATAAAACAAAAGACACAAACCTAAAGGCAATTATGAACCTGGGATGTTGTATACAACACTGTAAGGACTGCCCCTTTCATTGTAATTATTATTGACATGGCCTTTCAAAATGTGACAGAAATAAAACTGCAAAGTTTTTTTGTGGTTGTTTGTTTGTTTATTTGTTTGAGACATGGTCTTCCTGTAGCCCCAGCAGGCCTGGAACTTACTATGTAGGCCAGGCTGGCCCTGCACTCACACCTGCCCCATGTCTCATGTGTGTGTGTGTGTGTGTGTGTGTGTGTGTGTGTGTGTGTGGTGCTGGGACTAGAGGTGAGCGCCACCATGCCTGGGAAAGTTCTTAATTGTACTAAAATCTTTCCTAGATTCTGGCCAAGTCACTTTTGGCACTTTTTTTGGTCTCTCTATTGTCCTCTTCCTTACCTAACAAAACCATTGACAATGTCCCTATTGGAGTTACACTATGCAATCCCACTGCATGTGTGTAACCCTTAGTGGATATGGCAGAAAATCAACCTACATATGAATCCTGACTCTGCCTTGTAGTAGATATGTGGCCTTGAGCAAGTGTCTCTGTGTCTGTTCCCTCTTCTGTAAGGTAATGTCTAACCATAACTTTACAAGTAACACATAGGCTGCTTACCTGCCCCAGCCATTGTTCACTTACTCCTCACGATTCCTAGGACCAAGAAACTACCATCTCCATAGTTCAGGTGAGGCACCTGAGGCACAGAGATCCAGAACCTTCCCTACTGTCACACCATTGGTCTTCTGCAGAGTCAAGGACTGTAAGTCAGGTTCCAGAGCCCCAATCTAATCACACAGCCTCTGTAAATGAGGTCAGATCTGCTAAGGGCTGTTTGAGGACTCAGAAATAACATTATGTAAAGCTGAAAATTTGACAAGTGTCTGCTAGTTAGCAAGGGTTGACTGTTATCCAAGCAAGGTCTGTCCATCCAAGATTGTGTGCAGGAACTTTCAGGCTTCTTTGAACAGAAAAAAAAAGAGGTTGGGGTGGGAGAGCAAACAAAGGAGGTGGGCATGGTAAATGTGAAAAGAGGCAAAGGAGAAGCAAGTGGAAGGCTCTGGGACTACCTAGGAAACAAATGTTGCTGGCTAGTTCTTGAGAACTAGCCACTGTAAATGGAAGTTCCAGCCTCACCCACCTCAGAGCAAACACTTGTGGAGGGTGACTATTCTATCTCCACTGTAAATGGAAGTTCCAGCCTCACCCACCTCAGAGCAAACACTTGTGGACTGTGCAATGCCTCAGACCCTGGGGTCATTTGGCCCTGGATCCCACCCCAGCCTCCTGGCTCAGCTCAACTTCCTTTCCTTCTGGCGGGTCCGCCCCATGCCGGGCGGGGCCTGTCCCAACTGCTCTACGGGTGGCCTGCGAGCCGGGGCACTAGCCACGCGGTGGCCCGCGGGGGGCTGGGGGCTAGATGGCGACGTGGAGGAGAGATGGTCGGCTAACCGGCAGCCAGAGGCTCCTGTGTGCGGGGCTGGCGGGGGCACTCAGCCTCAGCCTCACCGCGCCCCTGGAGCTGGCCACCGTGCTGGCCCAGGTCGGTTTCGCTCGAGGCCACGCCCGGGGACCGTGGGCCATCGTACCCCGAGTGTGGGTGGCCGAGGGACCTCGGGCCCTATGGAAGGGGAATGCTGTGGCCTGCCTGCGTCTCTTACCCTGCAGCACCGTGCAGCTTACCGCCTACCGAAAGTAAGAGTCGGGAGGGCGGGGCGGGGAGGTCGGACTGGGGTGGCAAGACCGTGGCCCCTACTGGGAACCCTGTTGAGGTCTCGTCCCCTTTCCGGATCACGTGGAGGAGTGTTCTCCGAGCCTTAGGCCCCCAAAGCGCAGCACCAGGTTTTTACATGCTCTTGGGATTCCTGCTCTGGCAGCCGCAGTTTTGTGAAATCTTGAGGCTTTCCGTCATGGACAGGGCGAAGCGGGGCGAGGAATGAAGAGGCTTCCTCAGGAGATGAGTTCTGACCGTTCCCAACGTTCAGCAACTTGGAAATGTTTGCTTCCCTGGATTAGAAGGAAAGAAAGCTCTTGAAGATATGTCTAAGTGCTCAATGAAGGGAGAGGGACCAGCCTGAGACGTCAAAAGGGTCCCTGCCCACCATCCCCAGCCCCAAACTCAGCCTAACCAAACTTGGTTTGGGGTTCAAGGGGGCCTGCAGCTTCATTTTTCCCAGCAAGGACCTGTTCCCTCAGCCTAATGTTCCTCCCACTCCTAGCTGCCCACAGGTCTTATCCTTTGGACTACTCCCACATCAATAGATGCTCCTGAGGAAAAGATCTAAAGATGGAAATGTGCAATGAGTGAGTGCCCTTAACTAAGGCTCTGGGATATTTACATCAGAGCTGGAAAGGAAGCCTAAAGAAAAGTGTTTGCAGTGTTGGCGGCTCAGGAGGAGCTGTTTCTCTGTTGGGAAGGATGGTCCCCATGTTCCTCATTCTGTAGGCAGAGTGCTAGCTATGAAGACTGGAGGTGGCTCTGAATTAAACAGCCTACAAGCAGGAGCTGGTCAGTACTTTTTTTATCCAGTGCTAGAGATGGAACCCATTGCCTAGGCAGGTGCTCTACCACTGAGTTATATCCCCAGCCCCAAGAACTGATCAGTCTTAACCACCTAGTTCAACCTTGGTGGCTGACAGTCAAAAGATTTTAGTCTTGATACTGTTGCTTGGAAGGCAGTTCTGTGAGCTTGCCTGGGAGCTGACAAACTGAACGGATTCCACCTTATCACTGAGTGCTCCAAACCAGCACTTCTGTGGCTTCTGCCAGGAAAGTGAACTGCCTTCTCTTTTCCAGGGACTGATTACTGGTGGGGTAGGATCATGAAACATGTCTGTCAAAGCTCTTTTCTCTCCCCAGCAGCCCTTGTCTAGCCACAACTGGCTCACAGTTTTGAGTTTTAAGGATTCAGTCTCTTCCTGCTTCCCTCTTTTCTGCACAAAGTGGGAGGGAAATCTTTCTCTGGGTGAGATAGAATTGCAGGAAGGGGAAGAGACCTGGAGAGTTGGTTCAGTGGTTAAGAGCACTGGCTGCTCTAGAAGAGGACCCGGGCTCAGTTACCAGCTCCCACATGGTGGCTAACAACCACCTGTAACTCCAGTCCCAGGGGATCCAACACCTCTTTTGGTCTCCATAGGCATTATACACACTACACACGAGTGCATTTACATACATGCAGGCTAAACACACATACACATAAATTTTTTTAAAAAAAATTTAAGACAGATTATGTACTAAGGAGCAGAGGGAAAGGACAGATTTTCAAAGGCTGGTTCAACTAGCAAAACTGTATATTTGATTTTTTGCTACTAACAAACTTGTATATTTGATTTTTTGCAACTCCTGCTTCCTGCCTAGAAAGGTCCTAGAAAGTACTTTGTCTATTTTACACATGCAAAACTGAGCTCACACTGGGGTACCTCTATTTGGTGACAGGGCTGAACACCGTCACCTGGCCTTCTGATTCCAAATCTTGTACTGTTTGTATTTCAATGTGCCACCGTTTTCTCTGTATTCATTTGACATTTATTTAGTTAGGATACATGAAGTACCCACCATGTGCATGTTGCTGGAGATGATTCAAGAATGAAAAGGGTATGGTCCCTCTGCCTCGGGAGTTTACAAAGTAGAAAAAACCTAGTAAGTCTTATTCTGCAGCCAAAAAACACGGGGTGGCACATAACTGCTTGTGGATCAAGTGTTATAGAAATGTACACCTCAGGTGAGGGATGAGAGGATGGGAAAGCCTCATAGAGGAGGAAAAAAAATCTGAGCTTGGCCTCGGGAGAATGAGTAGTCTACTGGCAAAGATGAAGAGTTTCAGGTAATGTCAGCACAGGCTCAGAAGAGGCAAGGCATGCAGCATGACTAGAGACAGCTGGAAAAGCAGGTTGGAGTGAGATCTTGAAAACCAGACTTGGTATGTGATGGTAGCTGTGGGAAATTTTTATGCAGGGTGGAGGACAATGCTGTGATTAAAGCAAATTAAGGGGAATGATTGTCACGTGGTGGCAGGAGAGGATTAGAAAGGACAAGATGAAAGAGGAGAAAGACTGGGTGGTGGGAACAGCTGAGAACCCGTCATACCACGTGACAGCTGAGTGTCTGAAATAGGCTGATGACAGAAGTATGAGAGAAGAGTAGAGAGTTACATGGACTAGGTTTGCTAATGTTTTTGTTTCCTGCAGGATTATTTTCTTTCTGAAAATCAAAAGGAAATATTCTGGTCAATGGCAAGGTATAGTTAAAGAGGCCAATTTTCCTTCCAACGAAAAAATGATAGTCATGGTTCCTCATTATACTGACTCATCTCTACTCCCTCCTGACCATAAATTTGTGGAACATATGGCTGTGAATAATGGTACACCTTCTGATCATGGGTTAGACCTCAACATCCAGCATCGTCAAGGAAAAGGAGTTGTTAAATAATTTGTCCACAATCACAATGGCAGAGGTAGAACTTGAAACCAGAGCTTCTGGCTCCTTAGTCCAGGATTCTGTCCACCAATGCACAACTGAAATGTCTGTTTACCTGGACTGACAATGAAATGGGATGAAAAGTTAGAGTTGTTGAGTGCTATGTTTTGTCACAAGCAAATAATAGTCAATACAATAGATTGCTTTCAAATGCATCAAGAAGATTCTCCTCCAGCTTTATCCTACAAGGGCTTGTTTGTCGAATAAGCATTGGTTTGGGTCCCCACAGTTGTGAATTGTTGCGACCCAACACCATTTCCTTATTGAATGACCAGTCATGAGCTTCTCTTGGGGTACATTGGCAGCTAACTTGTGTTAGGCTAAAGCATTACAAGTTCTGATCACGTGTATCTGGGGTGGGTATAGAATCTGTGCTAGCTTAAAAAAAAAAAAAGAATTACTGCAGTTCACCAGCTCATTCAGTCTCACTAGAAAAGCTTCTGTGTCTGTATGTACATAAGGAAATATGAGGTAAAACAAAATGGAAACACCTCTTCCCTGGTCAGACAAGAGTTTTAAGATGTAGGGACCATGATGACATTATTAGTAGCCCATCAGGGTTGCCTACCTTGACTCTGCTATTCTAAGAGATTAGTGATTGGGAGTCTGGGACAAAATGAATTTCCTTCAGTTCTTTTTCATTGTAGACTTTGAGAGTAAAACTACATCTAAAAGCAAACCAATATAAGATAGGGTTCCTCTTCCTAGTTCAAGTCATTCAGTAAACCAAGGAGCTGTTTGCCTCTAGATACTTCTGTCAGTCATTTCCTTGTCAGGACTGTTAAACTCTCCTCCATGACTTATGCTTAGCACTAGCACAGGACCTGGCACATTATGGCTGGTCAACAAATGGGTAGTAAATTAGCCTATGTCCCAGAAGTGACCAAGTGTTGTAGGGAATAAGAGTAAGACAGTGAAAAGGAATGGGGCTGCTTTTTGCATTTAAATTTCAGCTAGGTTTTTCCAGCTTGCTGCAGACAACCAGACAAGCATTTCTACTTCCTGTGTCCCATGTCTCCAACTGGACAGGCTGAAAGAAAGAACTATGTAGGCATTAACATTGAGGCCAATGGTTCATTGGTAGTTTTGAATGGTAGTTTTAATTATCTGTATATTTTCCCCCTTCAATGCTGGGAGAAAAGCCAGGACTCCAACTGAGCTGCACCAAGAACCTTTTCCTGCATCTTTTTGCTGTTAATGTTTTTGTTTGGAGACAGTCTCATTATGTAACCCTGGCTGACCTAGACTGTGCACTGAAGACTAGGCTGGCCTTGAACTTACAGTGATCCTCCTGCCTGTGCTTCCAGAGGGCTGGATTACAGGGATATACTACCACTCTCAGCTCTTACTTGCATCTCTTTTTTTACCTTTTTTGAGACAGGATCTCACTGTGTGGCCCTGACCGGCCTAGAACTCACTATGTAGTCCAGGCTGGCCTTGAACTCACAGAGATCCACCCACTTCTGCCTCCCAAGTGCTGTGATTAAAGGTAAATGCCACCATGCCTGGCACCTGCATCTTTTAAAGTACCTGTTTAACTCCAATGACTCTCAGTTGCATTTAAGGAAACTTGGCAAAATAAATACTTTCCTCTAGCTTCAAGGACATGTTATGAATGAATGAATGTTTACTTGGAAGCAGAAGTACTAGCCCAGAACCCCTTAGATGGTTCACTTGAATGCCCACTCAGCATTCATGGGGCCTGCTGATACCTAAACAATAGGAAACCCACTCCTCCACTGGAAGCTTGAAAATCAAAAAACTGGGGATGCTTTCATTTTAAAAAACATAAAACACTTAGTGCAACTCTGTTCACTTATTTTTATTCCAAACCCTTAATAGCCACTCTATGACAGAAAGTACTATTTTTCCAAGTTTCCAAGTGTGCTGGATAGCTTTAGTGTCAACTTGACACACCTGGGTTGAGGTTGAGGGAGCTTCAATTGGGGAATTGCCTTCACTGGACTGGCCTGTGGCCATGTCCATGGGGCACCTTCTTGATTGTTGAGTGATGTGGGAAGGCCTAGCCCACTGTGGGTGGTGCCAACCCTAGGCAGGTGGGCCTGTGTTGCATAAGAAAGCAGGCAGAGAAAGGGCCAGGGGAGCAAGCCAGTAAGCAGCATTCCTCCATGGCCTGTGCTCCAGCTCCTGCCTCCAGGCTCCTGCCCTGAGTTCCTACCTTGGGCTCCTGGATGAACTATGTCCTGGGATACGTAAACTAAATATACCCTTTCCTCCCCAAGTTGGTATTGGTCAGAGTGTTTTGTCACAGCAATGGAAAAAGAACTAGGACACCAAGCCTCATCACCAAGAAGTTAACTCAGTTTGTTTTTGTGACTGGAAAGGGTGTGCTGTGTAAAAGTCCCCGTATAAAAATTTCTTCTAGGGGAGGTACTCATGGTTGGGGATGCCCTGCCTCCAAAAGGAAGGTTGATCAGAGTGGCTTACTAACTTGCATTTGGAAAGGTCCAGCAAATTTATTTAAAGTAAATTGTAAACCTACAGAGAAATACAATGAATCATCTGGCCAACACTCAAATACCTGCCAGCCACACTTCACATATTATTTTTAGACAGAGTGTTACTATGTATACTAGGTTGGTCTTGAACTTGCTCTGTGGTGGTATAGACTGGTCTCAAACTCAAGATCCTCCTATCTCAATCTCCCAAGTGCTGGAATTATTGGCCTTCAACACCAGGCCCAAATATCTTTGTTATTGTTGAGGAGGTTTTTGGTTGGTTGGTTTGTTTGAGGTTTCTTTTGGGTTTTGTGGGGTTTTGGGTTTGTTTGCTTGTTTTGCATTTCTGAAGATTGAATCCAGAGCCTTGAGCAAACTAGGCAAGCCTGCTACAGAGTTCCAGTCCCAGCCCCTTGTCTTGTTTTTGTATTAAAGTCTTGCTGAGGCTGGCCTCAAACTACTGGGCTCAAGTGTTTCTCCTGCCCTAGCCTCACTGGTAGCCATGGCTACAGGAATGTGCCACAGACCTGGCACCCACATATTTTTTAAAATATTAAAACATGACAGATAAAGCCAACGTCCTCTTCAGTCTTATTCTTAGTCCCAGTCCCTCTCCCCTTTCCCAGGGGACGACTTTTATACTTGTTCATAGATACCTGTTTACCTTTTTTGTTTTTTGTCTTTTTGAAACAGGGTCTTCCTGTAACCCCAGCTGGCCTGGAACTCACTATGTAGACACAGACCAGGCTGGCCTTGAACTCACAGAGACTCTGCCTCCCAAGTGCTGGGACTACAGGAGTGGTCCACCACGCCCAGCGATACCTGTTTACCTTTAAGTAATGTATTTGTGGGTTTTTTTTTTTTTTTTTTTTATGGTTATTATATACTACAGACCACTCAGCAGCTTTTTTATTCATTCAGCATTATGCTTTTATTGCTTATTTCTTGGGTTTTTATGATTTGTCTAAGCTCATTTCTACAAAGATTTTATTATTTTTATTTTATGTGTATGGCCTGCATGTATTAAGTGCACCCATGTTGTGCAATGCCCACGGAGTCAGAAGAAGACGTTGGATTCCCCTGGAAATGGAGTTACAGACAGTTGTTAGCTGCCAAGTGGGTGTTGGGAAACAAACCCGGGTTCTCTGCAAGAGGAGCCAGTACTGTTAACTGCTGAGTCATCTCTCCAGCCCCTTATTCATTTTAACCATATGTTATTCATTGAATGATAGTGCCATCATTTATCCCGTCTCCTACACATGGACATTTCAGTTGTTGGAGCTTTTCATCCTTATCAACAATGGTGTAGTATATCTTCATGTGTATATCTCTAAAGAACTTCTCTAGGGTACGCACTGAGAAATTGCAAGGGCAAAAGTGTGTTTCTCCAATTTTATGAGATACTATAAAGCGGCCCTACAAACATATTTCTCCTTACAAAGGGTGAGGGTGTCTGTTTCACACATTCTTACCATCAGTTGGTATTATCAGACTGCCAGTTGCTGGGTAAGAAGTGAGTATCTTCTCACTAGTTTTGCCATTTTTCTGGTAACTAATAAGACAGCAATTTCACTTATAATTATTATGAAGAAAATTAATTCTTTTAATTTATTTTTATGTTTTAAATTTTATTTATTTGTTTTTGGTCTTTTTGAGACAGAGTCTCCCTGTAGCCCCAGCTGGCCTGAAACTCACTATGTAGCCCAGGCTGGCCTTGAACTCACAGAGATCTGCCTGCCTCTGCCTCCCAAGTACTGGGATTAAAGGCATGTGCCACCACACCCAGCAAGAAAATTATTTCTTTCTTTCTTTTTTCTTTTCTTTCTTTCATCTTTTTGAGGCAGGGTCTTCCTGTAGCTGCAGCTGGCGTGGATTCTCTATGGCAACCAGGCTAGCCTTGAACTTACATATATCTGCCTGCCTCTGGCCCCCGAGTGCTGTGATCAAAGGCGTGGGCCACCATGCCCGGCTTATTTATTATTTTTTTATTTTATGTGTTTAAGTGTATTGCCTGCATGTATGTAAGTGCACCCATGTCATGCAATACTCTCTGAGATCAGAAGAGGGCGTCTGATCCCCTGAAACTGGAGTTACACATGTTTGTTAGCTTCCATGTGAGTGCTGGGAATCAAATCCTTGTCTGCTGCAAGAACATCCAGTGCTCTAAACTGCTAAGCTATGTCTCCAGCCCCCAAGAAAATTAATTCTTTAGACTACATTTAGCAAAGCTAATTTGAGTAAAAAGAAACCAAACACAACTCTCTAATCAGACATCTCCCAGAACCAAAGAGTTCCAGTGAAGTCCAACGAAACACAAGATGATCAGACAGTATTTATAGGAAAACAGAAACAAAGCATAGAAGGAACTTAATTGGTTGCAGCTTAGTCAACTAGTTACAGTTTAGCTAGTTTATCATTATAGCCTAACAGCTAACTGGCAGCAGGGTCTTCTGCAACTAGCCAAAACTCAGAGGCTATGATTAAATTTGATACTGGCTTGGTCTGTTGGGCGCAGTGCAGGTGCTCAGTGCTCAGTTCAAATGCATACCCTCCTACAAAATTTGACTTTGTACTATACATATATATAT